ATCCTCTCTGTGGAAAACCTACAGAGCAGCAAATCCACGTGAGGAATACGGCTCACCCCATTCTCCTCACTATTGGTGTCCCTCCCCACTCAGACCTACCACACCCCTTCTCCCACATTCTTCCTTCCGTCCTTGCTATTCTCTGACCTCAATAACTGCCTCCCTTTGTACCTCTAGCCGAGCCACAATCCTGGTGCGTCTGGACACTGGTGGCCAAGAGGGTCTACAGTACCAGCCAGGGGACCACATAGGTGTGTGCCCACCCAACCGACCTGGCCTAGTGGAGGCACTGCTAAGCAGAGTGGAGGACCCTCCGCCATCCGCAGAACCTGTGGCCGTGGAGCAACTGGAGAAGGGCAGCCCTGGTGAGATTGTGGGCTGGGCTAGGCTGGGAGATTAAGAGCCTGCTGCATCCCCTGGCACAGGATACCATGGTGCCTAGAGCTGACAGGGTTGCCACCCTGCTTCATACCTAGGTACTGCCTGGACCTAGCTGCCACTCCAACCAGGATGGCCTTGTTGCATGTGGCCCTTTCCCAGAGCCCACCAAGCACCCTAGAAGCCTTTTCCCACAACCACCACCTCCCCACAGTCTAATTTCTCTGTAGTTGACCTGTCTCCTTCCAAAACAATGCCTGGAGATAAGATAACTTGATGGGGTAAAGGGCAGAGGAGATCAGATCGACCCAGTTCAGCCAGGGTCTCCCTAAACATACCAGGGCTGCACCGACAAGTACATGCCACCATTCAAGGACAAGTTTTCCAATAAGACACAGTCTCCAAAAGGGGAACTTAAGCTCAGACCACTCAGTCTCAGTGGTCCCCTCCCTCAGAGCTCCCTGTGAATCATTCCCAGGTGGCCCTCCCCCCGGCTGGGTGCGGGACCCCCGGCTGCCCCCGTGTACACTGCGCCAGGCTCTCACCTTCTTCCTGGACATCACTTCCCCGCCAAGCCCTCGCCTCCTTCGACTGCTCAGCACCCTGGCAGAAGAGTCCAGTGAACAGCAGGAGCTAGAGGCCCTCAGCCAGGTGGGGGCCATGCTGTGGGAAACAGGGGCTAGACTAGAGGATAAGTTGGGGGATATTCAGTGAAAGGAAGTCCCCGGTACGTGCCAGGCCCTCTGGACTTGCTTCTCCTAACCAACGTGCTCTGGTGCTTTAAGGCCTGTCTCCGGGCTGACCGATTCATCTCTGGGTGCTCTGGGTCTCCAAGAGGGGTGTGTTGGTCTGAACTGAGCATGGATGGATGCTAAGAAGGCTCGGCTAGATAAAAGTCACTCTGGGAAGGACTGTGGGGCCCTCAACTCAGCACATCTGCCCCCAGGACCCCCGGCGCTATGAAGAGTGGAAGTGGTTTCGCTGCCCCACACTGCTGGAGGTTCTGGAGCAGTTCCCATCAGTGGCATTGCCTGCCCCTCTGATCCTCACTCAGCTGCCCCTGCTCCAGCCCCGGTACTACTCTGTCAGCTCAGCACCCAGCGCCCACCCAGGAGAGATCCACCTCACCGTAGCCGTGCTGGCATACAGAACCCAGGGTGAGGCTGGGCGCTGGAAGAGCCTGGTCTTGGCAAGACTAAGACAGATCTCTGAATGGCCTCTCCTCCTAATCCCTAGATGGGCTGGGCCCTCTGCATTATGGTGTGTGTTCCACATGGCTGAGCCAACTCAAGGCAGGAGACCTGGTGCCCTGCTTCATCAGGGGGTAAGTGAGGACTCTGGGGTAGGGAAGGGCAACTAGAAGAGATCATTGGTGTCCAGGCAGGGATGAGAAAGTGCTACGTGCATGGCAGGAACCAGTGAGGAATATGGGGCAAAGGGCATGTCTCATGGGATTAGCTGGTAATTAGGTCCCGGGAAGCGTAGAGGGCCTATTAATACATCAAGAACAGGAGTCTCTGGGTCCCTTCACAACCATGGCTGAGCTTTGGGCCTCAATAACTTGGTGCAGAGTGCTGCCCCTGAAACCTCAACTACCAGAAACAACATGGATTAGCCAGTGGCCCTGCTGCTTTATGAAACTGTAGCCCTGCATGCCACCTTGTATCCTGCTACAGCCTACATTAAAAGTCTAGACTTCAAGACAGGTGGTGGTGGCACAGCCTTTAATACCATCGGAGGCAGAGGCAGAGGCAGGAGGATCTTTGTGAGTTCGAGGCCAGCCTGATCTACACAGAGAGACCATATCTCAAAAAAACAAAAAACAAAAACAAAAAAAGGTGTCTAGATTTCTGTCAGGCATGGTGGTACACACCTTTAATTCCAGCACTTGGAAGGCAGAGGCAAGCAAATTTCTGTGGGTTTGAGGCCAACCTTGTCTACAAAGCAAGCTCCAGACCAGCCAGAACTATATAATGAGATCCTGCCTTAAAAAAGAAAAGAAAAGAAAAAAGCCAACAACTTATTTTGTCATTGGGCCTTAGGCTTTCCTGTCTGTACAGTCTTAAGTTGGTTGGTATGTATAAAGTCATAGGTGAAGAAAAGAGGTCTTAACGGACTCTTCTCTGGTTAGGGCTCCCTCCTTTCGGCTGCCACCTGATCCCAACTTGCCCTGCATTCTGGTGGGTCCAGGGACTGGCATTGCACCCTTCCGGGGATTCTGGCAGGAGCGATTGCATGACATTGAAATCAAAGGTGAGGCCGGGTGCACCTGGAAGTCAGAAGGGACCCAAGGAGAAAGGAGGGGGGGCTGGAGCAAATCACCACAGAGAAACTGGGACCAGAGGTGAAAAGAGACATATTTAATGGGGAGGGGAGGAGAGGAAAGGGCTGGGCCCTGTTTGTTTGCCTTCCTGGTGGTCCCTTGTTGTGCCAGGTTCTAGGAGCCCAGAGACTAACCCAAGGACTCTGATTCAAAAGCAAAAGGTTTCTTTTTATTTCAAGCTGGCCAGCTCACTGCATGGCTGGCAAATGAGATGCCAACCAGCCAAAAGGAGAAGCTTTTAAAGGGACAGACCATAAGGTTGAAGGTCACAAATTTCAGAGTTTCCATGGTTACTTAAGGTCATACAAAGTACAGAGGAAAGCAGTAGCTATATGTATGTATTTTTTAAAGAATTTATTTATTTATTGTGTATACAACATTCTGCTTCCATGTATATCTGCACACCAGAAGAGGGCACCAGATCTATAACGGATGGTTGTGAGCCACCATGTGGTTGCTGGGAATTGAACTCAGGACCTCTGGAAGAGCAGTCAGTGCTCTTAACCTCTGAGCCTTCTCTCCAGCCCAGTAGCTATATATTTTAAGTGAGATACATTTGAGTGAGATAAGACAGGGCACAGGGTTGCAGGGTTACAGGGTCACAGGGTCTGTCAGTGATCCCCTGGGCTGGGGACCAGCATTTAGCAAATGAATGTTAACAAGACTGGTACACAATTACCTTCCCTTCTCTGAGAGCAGGGGATCAGGCGCCAGCCATGGCACTCCTGATTTAAGGAGTTAAATTTTCCTTTACCATTAGACGTTCCCTTTTCAGGGCCTAAGTTTTTAAACTTCTATTAATTTTAATTTTTGGTTCCTCACCCTCTGCATATGATGGGTTTTGAAATGGACTGAGGGTAAAGAGGGGAGGGATAGGGACAGGAATTCAGTCAGCAGACAGCTCCAAGTAGATTCGGAGCTATGTCAGGGCTCATCTAGGATGAGGTGCTCGTCAGGCACACAGATATGCAGGACAGGCTCTAAAGCTACACAGAGAAACCCTGTCTCACAAAAACAAAAAAAAAGGTTGTGAGGGAATGGAAGGTTGCAAAGTGCTGGGCCTGGAGTGAGGAAGGGGCCCTGGAATGTCACACAAGGTCCTGGGCACGTTCCACTCCTGGTCCCGCCGCCTGAATGCCTGTTTCCTTCTGTAAAATCAGAGGCGTGCGTACCAGGGTCTGGGTGAAAGCACCCTGGAGGCTGAACAGTCAAGATAGTGGCTGGCTGGCACCCTGGGCAAGAGCGGCCTGGAGCTAGCTGGTGTTGCCGGTGTTGCTCCAGAGGAAGGGCACCTCCCAAACCGTCTTGTTGCTCACAGGGCTGCAGCCCGCCCCCATGACTCTGGTGTTTGGCTGTCGATGCTCCCAACTCGACCATCTCTACCGGGATGAGGTACTGGATGCCCAGAAGCGCGGGGTGTTTGGACACATCCTCACCGCCTTTCGCCCCAGACCTGCCTGGAAGACCTGCTGAGGACCGAGCTGGCGGCCGAGATCCACCGCGTGCTGTGCCTCGAGCAAGGACACATGTTTGTCTGCGGCGATGTCACTATGGCAACCAGCGTCCTGCAGACGGTGCAACGGATCCTGGCGACAGAGGGCGACATGGAGCTGGACGAGGCCGGTGACGTCATCGGCGTGCTGCGGGTGCGAAGGGGCGGGGCCAGGCCGGGGTGTGTCTGCGCTCGCCCCGCCCCCGCCCCGCCCCTCCCCTCTCGGGTTAAGGTTTCGTCCACTGAGCTCTTTTTCTTCTTCCCTTCAGGATCAGCAACGCTACCACGAGGACATTTTCGGACTCACGTTGCGCACCCAGGAGGTGACAAGCCGCATACGCACCCAGAGCTTTTCCTTGCAGGAGCGACAGCTGCGGGGTGCCGTGCCCTGGTCCTTCGACCCGCCCGGCCCAGAAACCCCCGCTTCTTGACGGTCTTTCCCTCCTAGTTCTCGGAGAGAGGGATCGTCTCACTCCGTTCGTTCCGCTGACCAATACTGTCTGCCCACCCCACCACCCTCTCTCTCTCTCAAGCCTACAGCATCGGTCTCGACACCTGGACAGGGAGGGGTTTGGCCTGAATCTTGAGGGTTCCTCTGGCTGCGGTGGCATTGACGGCGGGCATCCTGCTGCCCCCCTGGTATGCCTTCGATGGACTGTAGACTCCCTTTTGTCCCTCTCCGGAGTATCTTACCTTTAAAGTCTTAAGTCGTTCCGGTATTTATTAAAGATTTATCATAAAAGATCATGCCAGATGTCGTGAGATGCCCAACCCAAATCTTGCGGATTACAATGATTGCAAAAGAGACAAGTTCCATGATTTAATGTGGACAGATGTGGGGATAGTAATTCTTTGACAGTGAGTACTAGACACCTCTCTGTGAGACCCAGTACACTGAAAAAAGTTCCCAACCAGCCACACACGGTCCTGTGATTGAGTGAACAGGTGCAGCCCTCGGCTTCCAGGAGTGGGGCATGCCAGAAATTCCCATGGCAAAGATGTGCGGCACAGCCACGAACAATCTTTACCCAGGATGAGGAGCCACACCCACTTCCTCAGACGTCACAGCAGTGCAGACGTCCAAAAACAGCAGCCCTCTCTAGTTTTTCCACTCACAAGTCTCCAAATCCCCCCACCCCTAGTCCCACAGGAACTCAAAGGGGAGGCTGACAGGAACAGCTCCCTGCCTTTCAGGCTCTGTGCCTCACTGATCCCTGACACTGAGCTTGACCACTGCCTGGCCCTGCCCTCCACCTTGAGGGCACTGGGGCCCTTCTTCCCATGCAACTACTCCACAAGAGCTGGGGGGGGGACACTAATACCCTCTTATCCTTACTTGCAGGGCCCATCTTCATCTCACAGTCAACTCCTACTCTTTGTTCTCTGGGGCAAGCTCCTCTTTGACTCCCAGATCATGACCAACTAGAATATCCTGGGCCTGTCATCTGGGGTGGGATTGGGCATCAAAAGATGGCTCCGTGTGTCTTTCCATGCCACCCCATCCAATTTCCTGCAGCTAGAAAAGCCAGAACCTGTGGGAGGAAAAGGCTGTTAGCAAGCATCCCAGGCACCTAGGTTCTAGAGAGAGAGCCCCACCATTCCAGATTCAACTAGTGTCCCCCATCCCTCCAAAACTGACTCCAAACTAGTTTCTTTATCCTTGCTTGCTTGACCCCACATTCAGGCAACACTGACCTGCAGAATCATCAGTCAGTGCAAGGGGCCCGGTAGGGGCTCCTTCTGAGTGTCTGTGGTCTCCTGAAAGCGCTTTGGAAACAGATTCCGGGCCCTCTGGATACCCCACTGCTGTCTTGGGCTGGAAGCAGGACTAGAGCCTGGGGAATATGCCATTGGGTGAGCAGGGTTGTGATGCTTAAGAAACACCAAGATCTTGCCTCTATCCCCTACCCTCCTCACCATCACTTGACCAGGATGGTTTCTCCTCATCAGGTGAGCCTGGCTGTGAAGGGCTGGACCAGGGCCTGGGTGGGGAGGAGGCTGAAGCCTCTCCCCATGGTTCCTGTTGCTGCTGTTGGCGTGGGGGGGGGGGGGGATGCCATGAGGGGTGGGGCACAGAGAGCTCGTGGTTCCTGTAAAGCAGTCTCTAGATTCTGGCCCTTCCCCCAGTATTAATTTCACTCACCTTCTTCCCATATTCCCGCTACATACCTGATGCAGGTAAATGGCATGGAGGCTCATCTCAGCAGAAACAAGCTCTGGGAGCTGAGTCAGCTTCTGGCTCCCAGTGCCTCCTGGGGACACACAGCTAAAACAAGATTACCAGTCAAGAGACATCTCCCTCACAAAGGAAGGTGGGCCAGGTTGCACCCCACTTCCCAAGTCCCCTCTCTCGGAGAGTCAATGCCAATCCAGACTTCCCTGCATCTCAGGCCTCCACCTCTCACCTGGGGTCCTGGACCATTCGTGAAATAGAGGCCAGGAGGCTGGCTGTAGCAGCCGCAGGGCAGGGAGCTGTGGGACTAAGGTCCCTCTGGGGTTGGCGGGGATTCACCAAGAGATTGGCCAGGAAGGCTTCAGGCTGAACAAAGAGAACCAAAAGCATCACAGTAGAAGAAGGGATAAAGCGAGTCCCAAGGAAGGCAAGAGACGTGACAGGTTGACCTGGCTCCCAGGGTAACACACAAAGCCAGGCATGCCCAGGGAGAGGAGGAGGGTAGGAAGGGGAAAAGAGTAGACAGGCCTGGAACTCACCAGAGGGGATGTGCAGGCACTGAGCACCCCTGGGGTTGGGGGGCTTCGGGTTGAGGTAGCACCCCAGGCAGCTGCATCTTGTTGTACCCGGCCCCGAAGGTGTCCAAGGAACTTAGAGCTGTGCCCTGGTGGCTGCCATTGTGGGTGTGCCAGGGAAAAGCGCATTAAGGAGAGTTCGGTCTTTCCATCCTCTGCACGCTGAGAGAGTGAGGCTTCTGTCTGTCCCTCTGAGAGCCACTGCAAGGAAGAGTCCTTCTGGCGTTAGGGACACCAAGACTCAGATAGGTAGGGCAAGAAGTTCTGCCCTCAGTTCCAGATGAAGGAAATTCAGGCTGTGCCTGGGATTTGTTCAGGATCATCCAGGAGTAGGGTATTGGAGCAGGACATGGGTGCTTAGTCTCAGATACAGTCAGCTTTGATGTTTTGACCAATGTGCAGCCCTAGTTCCCAAAACAAGCCTGTGTTCCACTCCTCACCCATTGGCTAGCCTCCTTTATAGGCTGGGGCGGGGGCAGCCTTTGCTTCCCTTTATCATCATCATCGTTTTGGGGTTTTTTGTTTGTTTGTTTTTTTATGTACCAGTAACTCTGTAAAGGACTCTATAGACCCGGTGTGCTTTGGCAAGGCAAGCAAATGCCTGTCCAACACAACTCTGCAAGGTCTGAGAAGAGCTCTCACCTGAGGGTGCCCGTGGCGCTTCACATCCATTAGGGCAAAAGAACAGATGTCCCCAACACCAGCCACATCCACGGTGAAGTGATGAAAAAAGTCAATAATCTCCAGAGCACGGGGGTGGAACCAGAAGAGCAGAAAGAGAGGGGTGAGGAGTGGAGACAGGAGCTCTTCCAGGAGGGAGACCTAAGGAAGTAGAGGTGAGGCTGAGCAGGGGTCAAAGGCTTTCCACCACTCACTCTGAAGCCTCCCCAGGGACCCAGCCCCACACCGGTGTGGCCTACAACTTATCCCAGACTGCTTATGCCCAGATTGCAGGCCCGGGCACACTCACTGCTCGGTACTGAAGCAGCTGCGCCATCTGCCAGTAAGAGCTGGCCCGCGCACCCACAGCACCAGGCTCCTCCGGGAGGTAATGCATGTGTGCTAGCGCCGCCTGCAGCAGGAGCTGCGAGGGACGCCCCTGGTATTGCTCCTCGGGAATGAAGGACCTGGAGGGCAGGACGGGGATAAGGGATGCGGTTAGGAAGACCTGCAGGTAGGATGCAGGGCTGGAAGGGTGCTGATGGTGACAGAAGGGTTCGCTAAGAGGAAGGAAGCCTGCGCCCAGGTCAGAGAAAGGCCACACACCGATACCTCCTCCCTGTTATGTGTCATCGAACCTGGCCACGGTGGCTGTGACCCCAAGCGCCGTCATGGTAGTGAGCACGTGCTCCACGGCCAGCACGTCCTCATCATAGATGGTGAGCACCAGCAGCGCGGCAAAGAGCGCTCCGGAGAAG